ATATATATATTACTCTTATATATTGCTGCTGCTGCTGCTGCTGCTGCAGTTGCTGCTGTGCCTTACTGTTTTCAGTAGACAAAACTTCTTGGGGGGCCCCTTGGGGCCCCTCGGGGGCCCCCTGTGTCAGTACCCTGCCGCATGCATAATAGCAAGTATGTATAAGCAGCAGAAGGAATAGCCAGACAAGGTGTTGCTGCTGCTGCATCTTGCTGCTGCTGCTGCTGCGTTGCTGCTGCTACTGCAGCAGCGGTTATTGTATTGCTGCTGCTATAGCTGCAGCAGTTGTTGCAGTTGCTGCTGCAGTTGCTGCTGCAGTTGCTGCTGCAGTTGCTGCTGCTGCACACGTAGACAGGATCTGCATGCGATCTATTACCAGTAAGTAGGTCCTTCTATTACAATTAGGTAGCTATAGCTAGCTACTAGCTAGCTAGTAGCTAGCTATAGCTAGCTGCAGCTAGCTATAGCTAGCTAAGAAAAGAAGAGGGAAGAAGAAGGTCTTAGAAGACAGGCAGCATAAGAGGCCTCTCTCTTATAAGGAGGTCGCCGCGTCGGCAGCAGCAGCAGCAGCAGCAGCAACAGCAGCAGCAACAGCAGCAACAGATATATGTACCGATATATAAAAAGAAAAAAGAAAATAAAAACACAAACTTATTTTCTCCCTATAATTTAAATATTATAAATATAACTAGCAGCAGCAGCAGCAGCAGCAACAGCAGCTGCAGCAGCAGCAGCAGCAGCAGCAGTTCATCATTATATATCATCGGCTCGGACCAGGCCCAGCGGCCTCCTACTGCTGCTGCTGCTGCTGCTGCTGCTGCTGCTGCTGCTGCTGCTGCTGCACGTGCTAGCGGAGCGAACGGACCCCACCCCACACACCTGACAGATGTGGCATTCTTCTTCTTTCTTCTTTTTTTTTCTTTTTTTATTTATAAATAATTTATTTATTCTTTTTTATTTTTAGTTAATAAAGGGTTCTCTATTCTTGCTATACGCAGCGAAGCAGCAGCAGCAGCAGCAGCAGCAGAAACAGCAGCAGCAGCAGCAGCAGATATAACAGCAGCAGCACGATGCCGCCTTAGTAGCCCTCCTAATTAGAGACATTTTACTCTTTATTATTCTCTATTTAGTTCTTAGCCCTTTCTTTATTCAGCGCTATGGTTCCCCACTGACGCTGCAGCAGCAGCAGCAACAGCAGCAGCAGCAGCAGCAGCAGCAACAGGTTCTGGGGCTTGGGGGCCCCATAGCGCTCTTACTCTTCTTCCCCCCTTCTTTGTTCCTTTGATTATAGAAGGGGTTTTAGTTGCCTGCAATCTGCAGCAGGCCTCTGCAGCAGCAGCAGCAGCGAAAAGGCAGCAGCAGCAGCAGCAGCAGCAGCAGCAGCCGCAGCAGCGCCATCCGCCGCCATAATAGCAGATTGCGGCGGTACCCCTCTATCCGTATTAGCAGCATCAGCAGCAGCAGCAGCAGTAACAGCTGCTGCAGCAACAGCATCTGTAGCAGGGCCTGCATGCAGATGGACAGCTGCATGCAGTGAAGCAATGATGTCTTGGTGGGGCGCTGCTGCAGCAACTGCAGCAGCAGCAGCAGCAGCAGCAGCAGCAGCAGCAGCAGCAGAGTTGCCGTTGCTCACCTTGGCGCATAGTTCACATACCGAGGACAATGAGCACATTCATCATCTACATGATGCACGTCAGCTGCAGCAGCTGCAGCAGCAGGAGCAGCAGGACCTGCAACTGCAGCAGGAGCAGCAAGACCAGCAGCAGCAGCAGCAGCAGCAAGGGGATGATGAGCAGCAGCACGAGTTCCCTGTATGGGCATCTAAACTCTTTGCTGTATTTGTATTAACAGCTGTATCTGCATGCGGCGCTTTCTTACCTTTTTATCTGCAGCGTAAGGCAGCAGCAAATGCGCAGCAGCAGCAGCAGCAACTGCAGCAACAGCAGCAGCAAAATCAAGGAGGTATACGCAGCAGCAGCAGCAGAAGTGGATCTTGGGTCCAAGTTATGCTCGTATTCCTTAACTGCTTTGCATGCGGTATGTCGCCTCGTGCTGCTGTCCCTGCTGCTGCTGCTGCTGCTGCTGGTGCTGCTATTCCTGCTGTTGCCAGTTGCCTTCTTGATTCTTCTTCTGCTGCTTCTGTTTCTGCTGTTGCGGTTGCTGCTGCTGCTGTTGCTGCTGTTTCTGCTGGTCTTTTGCTGCAGTCCCTTTCTGTTCCTCCCCCACCACTAATTCATTCCCTTCTGCTGCCCTTGCTGCTGTTGCTGTTGCTGCTGCTGTTGCTGCTGCTGCTGCTGTTGTGCTGCAGGTGCTTTTTTAGGTTTAGGTTTATTACATTTATTACCAGAGGCAGCAGAGCAATTGGAGACAGTTGGTGTATCTCTGCTGCTGCTGCATGCAGAAGCAGCAGCAGCAGGAGCAGCAGATAAGAATTATCATTATAATTGTGCATATATTCTTGCTGCAGCAGGATTAACTCTTATGCTCTTCTTTGAACAAATCTGGGGACAATCACATTCACGTTAGTTCCTGCTGCTCCTGCTGCTCCTGCTGCTGCTGCTGCTGCTGCTGATGGTGCAGTTGATGCCGCTGTTGCTGTTGCTGGTGATGGTTCTTTTGCTGCTGATGGTGCTGCTGCTGCTGCTGCTACTGCTCCTGTTGCATGGTGGTGATGGTTATGGTGGTGATTGTGCTGCTGTTGGTGGTGGTGGTTGTTGCGGTGGTGGGGTTGCTGCTGCTGCTGTTGCTGCTGCTGCTGCTGCTGCTGCTGGTTGGTTACTGCTGCTGTCAGTAAGAAGTTGTCTTATTGCTGCTGTTGCTGCTGTTGCTGCTGTTGCTGCAGATGGTCATCATGACGGCTCGTCGTGTTCAGATTCGAGTTCTGTTGCTGCTGAGGAGGCTGCTGCTGCTGCTGCTGCAGCAGCAGCAGCATTACCTCATCCAGCTCATTTGCATGCGCAGCAGCACGGTGCATGCAGCGAAGCAGCATATTGCCCTGAATGTGATGATTGTGTAGAGGCGCATACAGCAGCAAATGAGCAAGACATTAGCTGCCCTCAGCGTGCTGCTGCTGCTGCTGCTGTTGTTGCTGCAGCAGCTGCTGCTGCAGCTGCAGCAGCAGCAACAGGTGGAGGTAATATTAGCGAAAAAGGAGACATCATCACTACGCAGCAGCAAATGCAGCATACTATCCCCAAAGCAGAGGGACAAGGTGCTCTTGTTGCTGCTGCTGCAGCAGCAGCAGCAGCAACAACAAAAGGGTCAGCTGTTGCACCAGCAGCAGACATCTACCGCCGCCCCAGCAGCAGCAGCAGCAGGAGGGGTTCTCATTGTGAGTATGGCTGTGGCAGTACAGGGGGAGGAGCAGCAGCTGCAGCAGCAGCAGGAGCAGGACAACAACGTGGCTGCAGCAGCAACAGCAGCAGCTGCTGCTGCAGCAGCAAGATGAATGCATGCCCTTCTAGGGTTTGCTGCTCTCTCTCTCATTCGCCAACCTCTGAGCTGCGCGTACACTGCGGGCTTACAGGAGACAATTGTCAAGTAAATACTTGCTGCTGCTGCTGCTGCTGCTGCTGCTGCTGCTTCTGCTGCTGCTACAACGAGCAGTTCGACGATGTCATAGTTTGCTGCTGTTGCTGCTGCTGCTGCTGCTGTTGTTTGCAGGGAGGGGACAGTTGTCCTTCAGGACGAGGAAACTTTGCTGCAGGACCAGGGGCACTAGACAGTATGTCTTGCTGCTGCTGTTGCTGCTGCTGCTGATGCTCTCAGTGCTGCTGCTGCTGCTGCTCTCCCTGCTGTTTGCTGGTGTTGCTCTAACTTGTGCTGCTGCTGCTGTTGCTGTTGTTTGTGTCTGCAGACCAGGCATGTTCGGATGAGGCGCATTTGCTGCATAAGCTGCAGCAGCAACATCAGCAGCAGCAGCAGCAGCAGCACGGGAGGGGAGCAGCAAGAGGGGGATCTAAGGTACCTCTTGCTGCTGCCTTAGGGACGCATGCATTTCTTGAAGGTATGTCTGCGGTGTATAGGCAGCTCCTGCTGCACCTCTGTATTTTTTTGTGTCTCCTCCTTCACTGTCTCCTCCCCTTTGCTGCTTAACTATGCTGCTGCTGCATGCAGCAACTGCAGCAGCAGCAGCAGCAGCAGCAGCAGAGAGCCTGTCTCCTTTATGGTTGCCTTTTTTGTATGTTATCTCCTTATGGTGTCTCCTTATACACCCCTGCCCTTCCCCCAACCCGTAATTAATCCCTTTTCTTCCCCTTCCTTGTGCTGCTGCTGCTGCTGCTGCTACTGCTGTTGCTGCTGCAGCAATAGTGGTGGGTATGACGCGCAGCAACGCGGATGTATGGATAGCAGCATTAGCTGTCTTAGGTCATAAAGGAGCAGAGGCCGTCGCCTTAGCATCCGCATTCGTTAAAGCTAGAGCTGTACGTACACCTCAATGCATGCATGCATGCGCTGTACGTACACCTCCATGCATGCATGCATGCATACATGCATTATTTGAATGCATGCACTGCTTGCTGCTGTTGAAAGAAAGTGTCTCTATAGCTGTGCATGCATTGAGTGTCTCCTCCTGTTCCCTTTTTGTCTCCTTTGTGTCTCCTTTTGTCTCTTTTCTCCTTTTCTTTTAATTGTCTCCTTTTCTTGTCTCCTGTCTCCTTTTATCTCCTGTCTCCTTTTCTTTTAATTGTCTCCTTTGTCTCCCTACCTGTCTCCTTTTCTTTTAATTGTCTCCTTTTCCTGTCTCCTTTCTCCTTTTTGTCTCCTCAGCCTCGTTGGTTAGTACTAACGTGTCTTGGGGCTTTTCTATCGACTACTCCTCTTGGCGTCTTAATTGGCGCATGCATAGCACAAGGAGGTAAGAAATTATTTATTGTCTCCTTTTTTATTTATTGTCTCCTTTTTTGTTTATTGTCTCCTCTTTTATTTATTGTCTCTTTTTTTATTTTCTCCTTTACTCCCGTCATATTTACTTCTGTCTCCTTTTTCCCTTTTACTCTGTCTCCTTGTTCTCTTCTTCTGTCTCCTTTTTTCTTCCTCTGTGTCTCATCATTCTATTCTGCTGCTGCTGCTGCTGCTGCTGCTGCTGCTGCTGCTGCAGGGTCTTCTGCTGCTGGAGTATTGAATGCTCTGGCTGTGGGGGTTATTCTGTATGCGTGTATAGAGGTACGTTCCATCCAAACCCTTTTTTAGGGTTTAGGGTTTAGGGTTTAGTGTTTAGGGTTTAGGGTTTATGGTTTAGTAGGGTTATCTGCATGACAATGAATATACACAACTGTTGTCTCCTCCTCTCCTCATCTTTATCATTTTAAAAATTTAAAAAAAAAAATTTCAAAATTTTTAGGGTTTAGGGTTTAGGGTTTAGGGTTTAGGGTTTAGGGTTTAGGGTTTAGGGTATACATATATAGATTTTTTTGTTTTTTTTTTTTTTCTTTTTGTATAGATGTTATCGGAGTTTGAGACGAAGGCACCATTAAGGAGAAGATTATTGCGTTGTTTTGCATTTCTTTGTGGTTTGGGGCTTTTATTTACATTAGATTTAATGCATGCACCTGTATGTCATCATCATACACATAATCATATACATAATCATTGTAATAATCATACCCATACACATACTAATCCTGCTGCTAATGCTGCTGCTGCTAATGCTGCTGCTGCTGCTGCTGCTGCTAATGCTGATTCGCATGATCATGATCATGATGAGGCACATCATGATCATGGTCATGCTGCTGCTGCTGCTGTTGCTGCTGTAAGAGGCAGAAGAGCAGCAGAAGAAGATATACACTATGATCATCATCATCATAAACATCATCATGGTAACAACAACAGCAACAGGCACACAGAGCAGCAGCAGCAGCTGCAACAGCAGCTGCTGCAGCAGCAGCAGCTGCAACAGCAGCTGCTGCAGCAGCAGCAGTTGAAGAAGCAGCAGCAGCAGCAGTGGCAGCAACTGCAGCAGAAGCAAGCAACGCAGCAGCAAACCACAATGCAGCAGCAAACAACAATGCAGCAGCAACATAGCCAATCAGCAGGCCATAGTCCAGCTGCCGCCTCCTTTGAAAGCAGCAGCAGCAGCAGCAGCAGCAGCAGCAATAACAGCAGCAGCAGCAGCAGCAGCAGCAGCTTGCGCGGATCGTCTCCTCAGTCTATCCGCTGATTAGAGGGCCTTTTGTGTCTTTAGTATTATTTAGCTAGCTAGCTATGTAGCTAGCTAGCTAGCTAGCTAGCCATCCAGCTATATAGCTAGCGAAATAGCTAGCTAGCTACGGCAGCAGCCTGTAGCAGTCTGCAGCAGCATGCAGCAGGCTGCAGCAGCCTGCTGCTGCCGCTAGTTGTTCAGGACCTGCTGCTGCTGTGAGGGAGGGGAGAGATGTATAAGCTCCTCCTCCTTACAGTGAATACCCTCAGACAATGGGGAGATAACCGCCTTTTAGAGGGATTGTGCAGCAGCAGCAGCAGCAGCAGCAGTTGCAGTTGCTGCTGCTGCTGTTGCTGCTGATTCAGGCAGTTATGGTGCAGCAGCAGCAGCCGCAGCTGCTGCTGCTGCTGTAACATTTGCAGCATAAGCTGACAGCAGCCATGTATGCCATCCGCAGCAGCAGCACGAGCTGCAGCAGCAACAGCAGCAGCAGCAGCAGATACAAGTATTACTATTAATAGTACTAGTATTACTACTACTGCTATTCCTGCTGCTGTTGCTGCTGCTGCAGCTGCTGCTGCTGCTGCAGCAACAGCAGAGACTGCTGCAGCACGAGGTCTGTAGCATTATTTTGTTTTTTCAGTGGATCTCGCAGCAGCAGCTCTTATGGTGTCTCTTCTTGTTGCTGTAGCATTTATTTATTTATTTATTTATTTATTTATTTATTTATTTATTTATTTATTTATTATTAATTATTATTATTATTATTATTTATTTTATTATTACTTTATACTCCTAGTTAGAAGGAGACACCTGCTGCTGTTGCTGCTGCTGCAGCAGCAGCAGCAGCAGGAGACACGGTAGGGATTGTCATTTTAGTGTCTCCTTTAGAGTAGTTAGAAGAAGAGACAGCAAACACAAATAACATGTAACTAGCGAAGGTACACAGGTCCTGCTGCAGCAGCAGCAAGTGTCTGCTGCTGCTGCTGCTGCTGCTGCAGCAGGGTTTCCTGCAGCACCAGCTGCAGCAGCAGCAGCTGCAGCTGCTGCATTACTTGTTTTGTTGTGTAGTTATAATTAAGAGGAACTAAAGCTGTTGTTTGATGGGCAAAGGAGACAAAAAGTGTCTCCTTATAAAAAGACAAGTGTCTCCTTTCTTATTAAGGAGACACATGTGTCTCCTTTCTTATTAAGGAGACACATATATCTCCCTATATATATATATATATATAGGGAGATATATG